ATCTGCAGAAGAGAAAACATTTAAAAAATAAAGTGACAGCCTGTATTCACTTTTGTATTTGAGGGAAAATACACACACACACTTTTTTCTAAACAGCAGGACCTAACTTAGTCAGACTGATCAAGGAACTACTCACAACTTATTGCAGAACAATGAGAAACATACAAGCACAAATCATTATGGCAACTATAACCCAATACTTGTTATTTAATAATTGTATTTGTTCTAGTGCTAGGGTTTTACCTCTGTTTACATACGTGCTCCTTTGTAAGCCTATGCAGCTGGTGCTATTTAACATGAGCTTTAAGTCAGGGAAACAAAAAGGAGGAGGTTAAATTGTGTATACAATTTAGCTCAATTTCCTGTTCTTAGAACACAGGAATTCTTTTGGTCTTGTAAAACATGTCCCAGTACATCAAGACTGAGCTTAGTGGTTTCAAATGTGCTACCTGAAGAAGCATGTAAAGCCAAGATGCCTGGAATGTAAAGAGTAAGTGACTGGGAGCTACACATTTGAGGGGTTTCTTGGGAAAGGATGTTCTTTGGATTTTATATTTTTTAAGAGTGAAGTTGTTTTAACTTCGTGTATTCTCACTCACCTGCTCTGGGAACTTGCTTCCAACTATCTCTGCCACAGTGTTAAAGGAAGTAGCATCTGGATAGGTCTTGGCACCCAGCTTCAGGTACACAACGATCTTTGTGCCCCGCAGAGACATTCGTGACATCATTTCAGCATCTTCCACAGAGATGCAGGCAGTAGGAATCGGGGGTACACCCGGCTGGTAATTCTGCCATCCAGTATGTGGGCTGTAAAAAATAATAAAAACCCCGAGTTAACAACTTGGCTCTTTAAGTTAATAAAGTGATCACAAAATTAAGACCACCGCCTTCATTACCATCACTGGCAGACTGCCAAAAGGAAGAGAGTCACTGTGATTTAAGGAAATCTTCAACAGAGAACATTTAAAGTGGTTTTATGCTCATTGGCATATCTGACCACCACACATTCTGTATATTTCGACAGTTATTCTGCATCAGCACTGTTTAGGTCATTGCTATGCTTTACATACAATGCTCAATCCTCTGACACCATGCTCTCTTCACTACTCTATCAGGAAGAAAAGCATTACTTATCGAAGTTAACAGTTAATTGCTTTATTTCCCCTCTGCCCTATTAAAAAAGAAAAAAAAAAGACAAATACTGAAATTAAAATTCACTATTTCATCTATTTTAACATCAACCCAGACATGAAAGACACATTTATGTTGAAGAGAGCTAGTACGAGAGACTTCAGGACAAGTAAGACAATCAGACCATGAACAACATGCATGTTTCTTCTTTCTTAACACACAAAAGATCTTAAGCACTATTTGTAGATAAGAGAATTTAAAAGAGAAAAAAAAAAGAAACAGTAAACTCTACAGTAATTATGATTCTGTCATATTTTCCTCCACTTTAGGTCTTTACTGGTAATATCAGTCAGAACATCAGCAGGAGAAAAGAAGAATTACAGGAGACTTTTCTCAGTAGAAGCTCTCAGTCAGTAAGAGACAATCAAGAAGAATAAATTATTTGGCAAATGGTATCAAACTCAGTCATTGTTTGAGAAGAACATACATTTTCCAAAGGACAGTTGTTTTATTACATTTGCAGAAGTGACATTCTCCAAATATAACGCACTGCTATAAAGGGTAGACCAATTCTGTGTTTTGTAGACCTCAAAGATACGCCGTGAACAAGATAAAATTTTTCATTTCCCCTAAAATTACATCTCTTCTTGTGGGAAGAGAACGATTTCCTGATTAACCAGGTTCTACATTTGTCATCAAAACTTTCTTTAACATTAATGGACAAATTCCTTAATGTAAATAACATTATTTCTCATTTTCTAGGTGCCTTGGTTGAGGCTTGTGGATCAGATCTGCAGAAGCGCTGAGTATGACACCTGCAGCTTATGTCAATGCTTTTAAAGTGAAGTTTTTATATAAAACTAGATATATCAGAAGAAAAAAAGCTGAAAAAAATATAAAAGAAAGAAGGATATAGATATATCCCAGAATTTGTCAACACTCCTGATATTACATCATTCGTAGCCTGTATTTTCCAGTTGTAAGGTAGAAATTTGTTTCACAGACTGTGATGATGACAGATTCAATGAACACTTGAGAAACATTTTAATACCTTGGAAGCTGAGAACCATTTTGACTATCCTGCAAATTGACTGCTATACAACTAAAATTCCTAAAACATAAATGTAGAATTGCACATTGAAATATTAAGATAAAATTATGGAGGAACTCTACAGTACCCTCTACAGTGGTTCTACAGTACCCATTTTCTGCAGTAAAACCATAAACTGAAATTTCATATCTATCTGCCCCGTTATTTCATTGTTACAGTTCTCCTTTGTAATTCTCATGTTTCAAAGACAAAACTCAAGAGGCATTTCCAATATACATAAAATATTCACTCATACAGCGGCTTCCTCAGCCTTCTTATGAATCTGCTGTTTGCCTCAGTTAGCAGGGAAAAGCCTGCCAGTAATATTTCCAAAGGAAACCTCTAAAGCCAGATCATATTTTTACACACTTATTATCCTATGAAGAAAGGCCAGAGTTGAAACTTCCAAGATAGCTCATGGACATTCTTCACATTAGTGGGACACTATTTTCACCTTTTTTTAAAAAAAAAAAATATATATATTTATTCATTTTTTCTACAATGCATCACTCTTATAATTTTAATGTTCTTTCTATCTACAAGGCTAACTGTGTAAAAATGTGATATTGCTGTTGACCCAAGAAAACCCCAAATATACTTTTCTGAGTCTTCTATACTGGAGAAAAAAAGAAATAAAGAAAGAAAACCCCACAATATTCCTAGAGTGCTAGTGTTGAGGAGAAGGGAAGAAATCCTCTTTCTAGGAAAACAGATTAGATAGATTAGATAAATAAGAGGGGTTATTCATTTCTCATCTTGACAGCAAGAAGACATATGGCAATGAATAACATGAACAGCAAAATAGATATGTAAGAAACATTCATTGAAAAGAAAATGCTAAAAATCAGTTCCAGAGGTTTTATGGGAGCTGCTTCCGAGTGCAGACAGATCTGTTTATTAGGTGGCAACAGTTTAAGAAGTTATTGCTCCCACTTGTTTCCTACTGAACCTCGCAGGAAGGCTCGTGCCTCATCAGCTTCTGCAGAGCGGGTCTCAGCGACTCATCTGCAGCGTAACAGCCGTCCCATCTCCAGGGCATCTCATCCCATCTCAACACCAGGCAGCCAGCAGCTCCCTGCAGCACAATCCTCGCCGGGCAGAATAAACTCATGTAGACTCGTAACCTTCAGACCTCGCATGTTTTCTCCTTTTCCTTTGTCCCTGTAAATAAACTCCTTCCTATTTTCAAACTACCACAGTCTACTGCAAATGTTTAACATTCTTGGAGTGTTTGGTGATATATCCAACATGTTGACCACTAGACTTTCCAAAAAACATAACATAAGCACTCCAGAAAGAAATAACAATATGACAGCTTCATGTATTAATGGTCCAGAAAACCTACATCAGATCAAATAATCAGATCAAATAAACAGACAGTTCATTTTAATGAATCCATTCACTTTTGTCTTCTGGCAAGTTTACTTAGTAGGTGCCAATAACATGCCAAGCACACCAAACTGCAGTAATTTGAGTTTTATCACTACCTATTTCGATTTCATTCCTCTCATTATTTCCCAGATGCTCAACAAAAGAAACTCCTAAAACTGTACTTGCTTCTCCAGTTTAAGTAGTAATTACATTTCTTCAGGATGCTCCATCCTGAGGTTCCAAAACTGTGAATAAACCTACTGACAATATATTATGTGCCTGCTAACACGTGTTCAGTGACCAAGTATTTGCAGGTTTAGAGTTAATGGCAGCTAAGACAAAAACTAAACTTTGAAGTCAGTTAGTAGCCCTGGCATTTTTTAACCTCAGACTGCTATTTTGCTGACACTTCTATGGTAACAATAATAAAAAAAAAATCACCATCATTCAATCTAACTTTTCTCCTGAACAGCTGAAATAATCTGGATAAATACAGCTTTTGCATTTTGTTTTTAATAAACACCTATATTTAATAAACACTAAATTGAAATGTATTCAAGAGAAGTATCGCAGCATGAATAGAAACATGAAAGAAAAGACTCCAAAAAATAAAGCATGCTCCATTAGAAGTGCATATCAGATGACCTATAAGACACAAACGTGTGCCTTACATCAGACAGAAGAGAGCAGAGGCACAGTAAGTTAACAGTCTTCTATTTAGTTATCTCCTGAGTAAAATAGTCAAGTATGTACAAACGTAAAGCTATAAATGTAAAGACGTGCCGCTGGTGCCAGGGCAGTCCTAACCAGATTTACTGTGGTAACTGGCCTTGCATGGTTCATTACTTTGTTCCTTGATTGCCACCCCTTATCTCTAAGATAAACTAAAATGCCCAAAGACAAATAAACTGTATGAAACAGTTTATACAAGCTAGGCTGGATGCTGTGATAGGAAACACATCTCAAGTTGAGGCCATAGACTAAGAGAACAATCTCCTAAAGGGAACAACATCGCAAGAACTCCAGCGTAAGCACTAATCTTATGAAGTAATTCAGGGTTCAGGAATACAAAACTAAGGCTCAGGAGCTCCAATTACATACTTGACAATATGCTTTCTATAACTTCATAAAATCAAGTTTCGATTAATAGGTCTGATCCGTATATTCTTCAAATCTGTTGGATGCTGTCAGCCGAGAGAACGAAAACAACTTCCTTCTTCATCTTCCCAGCCATTCAGAGCCACACCAGTCACACAGTGAGGAACGAGGGTTTTTTCTTTCATGCATACTGGCAAACTTGCTAAGAAATTCCAACCAAAGCTCCAAAGCTTGCTTCATTCATAGGTTTTATAAGCTCACTCACCAATTCAGTAAAAGTTATGGCTGTTCTTTGGATCATTGGCATGCAGCACTTCCCTACCACGAGCTCTGTCAACAGATATTGTGTTGACAAAGGAAGAATTTTGTATAACGATGGAAAGAGGTAATATATCTGTCTCCTATCAAGGACAGATTATTTGCGGTCTGGATTATACAATCTTTTCAGGATTCTTTTGTAACAAACTTTAATTGATGTTGTATCCTCAAAACTGTAACAAAATCTAAGATAAATTCCAGATGTGACTAGCCTTACTGAGTAAAATCCCCTTGGAGAAGTACAGCATCAATTTTTTATAATAGGGATTCCATTCAGAGTAACATTTGGAAAACTGCAGCTAATCAATGCTAAACACTCACTAAAATTAGGCTCAACCAAATTAGCACAAAAGCTCTAACATAATTATCTATGAAAGAGTCTACAGAACACAATTAACACACATCTATTTGTATTTCATTATAATATTCAGCTCCACATGCACCAAGGGAATTCTGTGACCACCTCAGAAGCTTTTTTAAAAGCAGCATTGATTGGCTATGGCAATGTCACTCTATCTAGAAGCAAAACAATCAGGAAAAAAATTCATTAATGGTAAAACGATCAAATAAAGCAAATCCAATAAATTTAATCTTGAGACTGTAAGTGGAAAAATCTGCACAATTCATTCCAAATATTTACAAAAGAAAAAAAAAAAAAGCTTGCATCAGCTGTTCTCCAACCAAAGAGAAAACTGCTTCTTACAGACACAAGGCCATTTAAGCCACATTGAGGAGCCATTTAAGCCACACACACCTGTTTTTACTTCCTGGTGTTTGGCAGGAACCAGCACCCTCCTTC